GTTTCCTATCCGAGTCACGTTTCTTCCCTCCTAAGTTTTCTATCCGTCCTAGGTTTCCTATCCGAGTCACGGCACCATTATGTCGCTCCCCCTCTTCGTGGAGGAGCAACACAGGACCCTGCGCTGTTCTTTCGTCTGCTCGGCCCTCCCCGGGTTTGCTGCTGGTTCTTCCCGGGTTGGCTACTATCCCTTCCACCTCCGTGGAAGGGCAGTTCCCCCTGGCCACATTCCCCACTTCCGCAGGGGAGCGGCACACCGCCGGCCGGCTCTCTCGGGGGCTGCACGGGTTCCCTTAGATGTCCCCCATAGATGTTCCTGGTGCATGCCGTCTCTCTCCTCCTTTATAGTCCTCCTCCGCCAATCCTAACTCGGCTGCCCACACGCCGAGTACGCTGCTCTCCAATCAGGAGCAAGTCCTACAGTTAATTGGTTGAACTGGAGGCAGCTGTGCGGAAGCTGTTTACTTCTCTCCCAGCGCCATATTGTGGGAGAGCAGATGCATAGAATAAGTCTTAATTCCAGTAACAGTCTAGTCCGGTTTGCTCCCCACAATTATAGATTATGCTCATATAATAAGGAGGCCAGTGAATTCACAAATATTATATATTATGAGTTGTTGTCATTCATTCACTTGCTCAGCACATATTTACTGGATGCCCACCAGGTGCTGGGTTCTAAACTATGCATTGAAGACAGAGCAGTGAGCAAAACATACAGAATTTTCTGCTCCACAGAAGGGGGTAAGAATAAGGACAAGTGACAAACAAGATAAACAGGCCGGCGCCATGGCTCACTAGGCTAATCCTCCGCCTTGCGGTGACGGCACTCCGGGTTCTAGTCCCCGTCGGGGCGCCGGATTCTGTCCCGGTTGCCCCTCTTCCAGGCCAGCTCTCTGCTGTGGCCAGGGAGTGCAGTGGAGGATGGCCCAGGTGCTTGGGCCCTGCACCCCATGGGAGACCAGGAAAAGCACCTGGCTCCTGGCTCCTGCCATCGGATCAGCGTGGTGCGCCGGCCGCGGCGGCCATTGGAGGGTGAACCAACGGCAAAGGAAGACCTTTCTCTCTGTCTCTCACTGTCCACTCTGCCTGTCAAAAAAAAAAAAATAATAAAAAAAAAAAACAAGATAAACAAGCAGCCAGTTGACATATGAGAGGGCAAGTGCTATGGAGAAATATAATGCAGGAAAAGGGAGTAAGAATAAGTGTGTGTGTGTGTGTGTGTGTGTGTGCAGGTATAGAGTTGGTTTCTATTTTCAAAAACTTTCCTAGGAATGCCGCATGGAGAAGGTGATGTAAACAAAGCCCTGAAGCAAGTGAAGGAAGTAGGGCCATGTAAATGTCTGAGAGAGGAACACCCGAGGCAGAGGGAGCTGTGCGCTCCAAGGCCCCAGGGCAGCAGTGTGCCTGGCAGCTTTGAGTAACAGCGCGGCCAGTGTGGCTGCAGCAGGTGATGAAGTACCAAGGTATTGGTGCGGGAGTGCAGGAGGGGGAGGATCCTATAGGGCTCTACACACCCTCATAAGCGCTTTAACCTTTTCTCCAGGAAATCCTTAAGGGCGCAGAGCGTTCTAAGCTGAGCAGGGGCATGATCCAACGATACTTCAACAAATTCACTTGGTCAATATGTCGAGAACAGACTTGAGGGAGCAAAAGCAATAGACAGGCTAGCCAGCCGCAGCATCCGAGGTGAGGTGATACATCACGTACCAGCTATGGCAAAACGACATCGGGGGCTAAACGAAGTGAGGGCCCTGCAAGATTGAAAGCTTCATCCCTGAGATCCATAACTAACTCTGACAGGTTACAGAGAACTTCTCTTTGCTCTCAGACCAATGTGACCAAGGGAACAGCAATGGGCTATTTAGCACTCACTCAGCTCAGTGCCCGATGCCCGGAACCACGAAACCAGCTCAGCTGTGAGAGCCCCAGGGAAAGGCTGCACGTCGCTGCACGTCGGCAGAGAGCTGCCTGGAGCGGTTGCCTGAGCACAGCAGTGACAAACGGGAGAGGCTGCTGGAAAGGAAAGTGGAAGCAGTGCCCAGAGTTTTATCTTCTTTGTCCATAAAAGGAGCTCAGACACTTCACAGAAGCCTCCCGCGGGGCTCCAGCGCGCAGACCGCCATTCCCTCCCCGCGTGGATTTATGGCATCTCACCCATCATAAGCGCAAGTTCTTCACGCAGTAAAACTCCTGTTTATTGAAATGGCTGAGATTCCAAAATCGACATTGGCTATCTGTTTGCTTAATCATCGTTATATTTCATCATTATTATGCCTTTCGAGAAGCAATTTCAGGGACCTAGTATTATAGGCAAGTCGATGTAACGGAGTCTCTGATCTTGCCTTTATTCCATTTTCTTGTCGTGAAAAATATCTCTTACAGCTCATTAAGATACTTGGTTCTGACAACTTACTCTTTGGATGCTAAAAAGTTGTGTCTCGGATTGGCAGGGCTGGCAATTGCATGGCCTTGGTGCATAGCCTTGGCTAAGAGAATTCTGCGCAGCAGAAAAGAGTTCAACCATGCATAGCCTCTATCCTGATGCTTTTCCCACTGAGTGCAGACTTGTCTCACAGCCGTGTCCATCTAGGGCTCCAGAAACTCACCCCCAAACAAGGAGAGCAGCTGAGAACTCCCTGAGAATCCTAGCCTTTGTCCATTGCAACCTTAGTTTCTGCCTTCATTGATGCCACTTTTAGAAATATTCTCTCAAGTTACCAACTCTTACCTTATCTTGAATTTAAGCAAAAACACATCATAACAATAATTAGGGTTTGTCTTTCTAACTCATACGAACAGCTAAGGATCTAACTAACAGTTATAATAATAAATGAATAATTGTATTAAGGTCTCTTCTCCATATTAACCAGATGTTTAACTTTAGATTCTTATATGGTTCCCTTAACATTTTTAAAAGTAAGGTGGCCTCTGTTTCCTTTAGCCTCTGGCCCCCTACTTGCTTTAATAGTTTCATTGGTTTACAAATTTCTAGAGTTCTGCAGCTGTAGTTTGTCAGGCTTTCATTAACAAATTATTAATGATGTTGTAAATGACTAACTTAAGAAAGCATTTGTAGGGGAAACCCCACAACAGTGGTGCGTGGCAGAGTTTTAGGATGAGCTGGAGGTGCAGAGGTTGTCCAGACAAGGCAATGCAGCAGCCATGATGGCCGATGCCCTCCCATCAGGGGTTTCTGGCGTCAGCTAAATGCCCTTGTGCGGCAGGTCACCACACCTGTGCTCCTGGGCCACACCCATCTGGAGAACCAGAGGTCAGAGGCACAGTCACAGAAGCATCTGGCCCGGTCCCCTACTTAGTTCTGTTGGTGGTGACTTAAAGAGCTACAAACAACACCTTCCTGGCCCTCCATTGCTGTCCCTAAGGCTCTACTGCCCCCCACCCTCGGCTGGGAGTCCCAGGGCTACATGTGTAGGGGAAGGGGCAAGGTCCCTCCTACACAATGGCGTTTGCCTGTGACAGCTGAGTGGTAAGCTCTTTCCTCTCCACCCTGCCCAGCTCAAGGTGGCCCTCCCCACCCTGCTGGAGCGTCTTCTTCCTGCCACAGCTGCAAGATGGAGAGGTGGCCAAGTGAATTCTGCACAGCTGAGAAGAGTTCAACTGTCTTTATTGTGTATTATTAGAGGGTGGTCTGCACCTGCGTGCCCACCAGCCAATCAGGCTAATTACCACGCCCCTCTGGAAGTGGATTAAAAGCCTGGGACACGGTGTGCCCAGCCCTTTCCCTTTTCTTTGGTCTTTTGCCATTGCAGACACCTGCTGCCCCTGCACCACCAGGACACGCGGCTTTCGGGCCACCTGCCCCATGCTTCCTGGCCTGCACGTTCCCCCACATGGCTGGCTCCTGGTGTTCAGTATGAACCCAGATTTCTCTCTTTCAGATAGGGCCCTCACTCTCCTATGCATTTCTCTCACTGAATAAAAGCTTAAAAATGTTAAAAAAAAAAAAATAGAGGGTGGTCTGTTTCCAGGAAGCTAAAAGTGCTCTGAAATCCCTCATGATCATTCCTAGGGCACTAACACCCAGGAAAAGTGACCCAGGCATTGCTGCTTCTCACAAAGCCATGGGCCTTCCCTGACCCGGGTTAGGGTCAAAGCAAATAGCCACTTGCCATTGAGTTCTGAATGTTCAGGCTGGAACTCGCTGGGTTTCAGCACAGGGAGAAGGAACGTTTTCTTCTACCACTACAGCATCATGCGAAACAGGAGCCCCTGTAAGCCTCTGCCCCTACTCCTCTGCTTCCTTCCTTGTGATCTGGTCAGGCACCCCACCTGGCTGCCTACCTCTACCTGAGCTTTCCTGCACTCTGGGCCTGGGGGTCTAGGGAAGAGTGGGAGGAGGAGAGTGGGCAAAAGAAAAAGGAGTGGCAGAATCGAAGGGGGTTGGAAACAGCATCCTGCCAGTGATGTGTGTGCCAGCTGGCCTGACCCCCTCACAGGGCAGGTAGTGGCAGGGGTGTTAGACAACTGGTTCAGGTTGGGTATGAAGGGCACTCGAGGGAGTCAGCACTGTGGCATAGCAGGTAAAGCCACTGCCTGCAGTGCCAGCACTGCATATGGGCACGGGTTCAAATCCTGGCTGCTCCACTTCGATCCCATTCTCTGCAATGGCCTAGAAAAGCAGCAGAAGATGGCCCAAATCCTTGGGCCCCTGTACCCTCATGGAACACCCAGAAAAAGCTCCTGGCTCCTGGCTTCAGATCAGCCCAGCTCTGGCTGTTGGGGTCATTTGGGGGAGTGAACTAGTGGATAGAAGACCTCTCTTTCTCTGCCTCTGCCTCTCTGTAACTCTGCCTTTCAAACTAATTAATTAATTAAATTAAAAAAAAAAGACAGTTGAGGGTGCCTGTGAAATGGGTGGCACTGTCCCTGTGCCAACAGCCTAGGTCTCTGGAGGTCAGTGCACTGAGCAGGCCATTGCACAGAGGGAAAGAGAATGTAGAAGGGTTCCAGGTAAGAAAATGAACTAATTAAGGTCTGATCTGGAGGTGCACCACAGCTTAACTGGTTTACCCAGGCTTGTCATCAGGAGGAAAATAAGTTCCATAACCCAGGCCACGTGGGGGAATGTGAACACATTCCTCACTCCTTTATTACAAAGATTTTGGGTGAAACACATAGCTGTGCTGTAACAAAGAATGGGTTAAGGCCTACAAGGCAGCAAGGCAGGGGCCGGAGATGGAGGCGGGGGGAGTGTTGTGCAGGGTTTTGGATCTCAGACCTCTAAGGACTGAGTAGTCCTGCAGCTTCCAACATGCACTAACTGCTGTTTCCTCGTGGGTCCAATGGATTCAATCATCTTTGCTGCGCTTTGGGGAGGATTAGAGACAATACACGTAGAGTATTTAGCACAAGGCCCCACACGGGCTAAGCCCTCTATGAATAAAGCTTTAGCTATTATCAGAGTGCTAAATCACACTGGGGGTAAAATTTCTGTGTCCCACTTAAAACATACCTCCCAGGATATAGGCATCCAAAGGGAATCCCACAAAAAAATGTCCCAAATAAAAGGGCTCTAAGAGCCTCAGTGGCTTCAGGGAGCCCTATTCCCGGGCAGGGGACGGTACCGTAGCAATTCCAGAAGCCTCCTGAGCCGCAGCGGCTGTAGCTGGGCCTCTCCTTGTGGCCCGTCACATCCGCGGCGCACATCTCTCTCATCCCCACAGTGAACCTCCACACTGTGCATCCCTTCAGTTTTCCAGGTAAGAGCCTGGACAGCAAAAGACCAGCAGCTTACTTCAGCCAGAGCAGCGGAGGAATTGGGGTTGTGCCCATTTCCAACCCTAAAGCTCAAACTTGGAGCCATATCCCTAAGGTCTCCTTCCAGCTACAGTAAGCAAAAACCCAGAGCCAGATATGCTTCCCCCAACTGGGTGCTCCTCTCCCTCTTCCCACTCTCTCTCCCCTCCCTGGCTCGGGAGATGGCAGCTGTTCCATTCCCCTGGGAGTGAGATTGCGCCCCCCCACCCCGCGCGCCCCCCGTTGAAGCCGCTGGAATCTGGAGAGGTTGCACCTGGAGAGGTGTGCGTGGGAGAGGCTTGCACCTGCAGAAGTTGGCCTAATCCCGAGGAGCTGGCGCTCTCAACTTTCACATCACCCCTGCATCTCTCCTTACACCGCTGAGAACTCCTCACACCTGACGTAGGGCGGGACCGCCAGGGTATGCGCGTGTGGCGCGCGTGTGTGTGTTCATGCGTGGGTGCTGGGCGCACCGCGGAGGGAAGGGAAAAACGATCGCGACTGGGATTCACTGGGGTTTAATGCGCGGGGAGGGGCCACCTCAGCCTTGGCTATTACCTCAGGCTCTGATTTTCCTGCCGAGCGTGCGCCAGCGCCTCGCACGACCGTGCACAGTTTCGCCCCCTAGACAGGAGGGAGGTGACGCGGGGACAGCCAGGTGGGCAGTTCCCACCGTGTCGCTGTCGGAGGCAGAAGGCGAGGGTGCAGCTGAGGCGAGGTTCCTGCGGGAGCGCGGAGAGCAGGCTGGCAGTACCACCTGCTGAGGGCCTCCCAGGCCGAGCGAGCTTCGGGCAGTGCCACCAGCTATAAATAGGCCGCCGGGGACAGCGTGTGCGACCGCGCATCCCGCCGCGAGGGCCCTGATCACGCGCGGGCCCGGCTGCTCTGGAGGTCGCTGGGCTAGGACCCTGCGCCAGGGCTGGATGGGACGGCGGCCCCCGCACCCGGTCCGCTCCCGCCGACTCCGGCAGGACCCCCAGAGGAGGGCCGAATATGGAGCACCCGGGCGGGAGCCAGGGCCGCCAAAGGCCGCGGTGGACCCGCACTGCAGCAGCTGCTGCCCGCCTGGGACTCGCGGGGCCGGGCCGTGGCGCCGGGGCAGTCACACGGCGCGGCGGGGAAGGGGGGCACCGTGGCCCCCTCTCGGCTCCCGGGGGACGGGGCAGGGAGATCCCGGCTGCTGCCCGCCCCTCGCCTCCCCCGCGCTCGCCCAGCCGGGAGGAGGAAACGCGAGCCGCGCGCGCAGACACCTCCTCCTCCACCGCCTCCTCCTCCTCTTCGTCTGCCGCCGCCGCGGTCCGCGCCTCGGTGCCTGTTGCTGTCGTCGCCGTGGGACCCGCTCTGTCCTCTGCCGGGTGGAGAAGAGGCGGGAGTCCAGCCCAAGGGAGCCAGCCCCGGCCCCCGGCGGCGGGGAGAGCGCGGCTAGCCCCGCACGATGGATGCCCCGCGCGCCCAGGCCGGCCCCAGGATGCCCCCGAGCAGCACCTGCGCGCCCCGGCGGGGCCCCGGGTTCTGAGCGCACCGCCGCACAGGTAGGCGCCTTGGGCGGCTTCGCCCTCGTCTCCCGCCAGCCGCCGAGTCGGCGGGATCCCACAGCGGGGGACCCCTCGGGGTCCCTCGCTGCCCTCCTAGTTGGACGAAAACGAAACCTTGCGATGCACAAAGCCCCGGGAGCCCAGTCAGGCGTCTCCCCTGCCCTCTCTGGCTCGGTGGCCCCCGCGTCTCCCGCCTCCCCTCCCTCCGAGTATCTCCCGGGCTCTGGTGTTTGGAAGGCCAGATTGGGAGGAGGGTGGGCAGAGTCACCCCACGTCATGCTTTCAAAGTCCAGGGTACTTTGCAGTAGTAACTTTGGCAGCTCCACCCGTGCGCGCAACATTTCTTTCTATGGGCACATCCTGTCTCAGTCATTTTGAAACCAAACTGAAAGGTTCGCAGCGGCTTCCTGGTGGCGGCGGGATGGTGAGACCCTCCGCACTCCGCCACACCTTGCTGCTGGTTTGTGGAAGAGACGTCATTTTGTCTGAAATCCACCTGGACGTGGCTTTCCCTGTCGCGATTTTATTTGAAAATAGCCTAATCTGTGGAAGTTGCTTTAAAAGGAAAAGAAATCGAAAGTGATGGTTGTTCCCTCCACGACACGGTTTGATTTTCAGAGCGCCCCGAATGTGTGGATCAGCGTTCACTTTATCTCTGGCTCTTCCTCCCTTAGAAGATTGGACGATTTCAGCCTCTCCTGTAATCAGACTTTGAAAGAGCCTGTTTAAATGACCTGGTTTCAATGGGTCGGGCCCAAGAAGCTCGGCCATCTCCCCAAGTCCAGAGGTCTCAACTTTTGCCTGGGACCTGAGCTGAGTGCAGGGCCCCCTGGAGCAGTGCCTTCCCTTGGGAGAGCAGGAAGTCACTCTGCAGGAGTGGGGGATGCCCACCTCTGTGGCTCCTTGTTTCTGGGCGCTGGATCTGTGTGGGAGGGGTGAGGGTGGCAGAATGAAAAGAGTAGCAACCAAGAGGCTGGGACCCCACTTTGCAGGAGGGCTTGACAGCTTTCTGTCTTCACTTTCTGTCACTCCCTTGGGTTCGCCAGCCGAGTGAGTCCTGCCCCTTTTCTAGATGTGTTGAGGTATGACGTGTTTGAAATGTGTTCTCTTGGTGGTGGGGGGGGGGGGTGTACCTCACAGTCAGCCCCCTCCTAGGTCACCTCCTGCGGGGATAAGGGCATTGTGTTCTTGTTTGAGGAAGGTTTGATTGCCCTAGCGAACAGGTGTTTTAACAACTTTGTGCTGTCAGAGTCTCCTGTGTGTGTGTGTGTGTGTGTGTGTGTTGTAGGGGAATATGACCATAGCAAGTGTTGTCTTTCCAGATTTAACCGTAAGTAAGCATTGACATAACATGAGCGACTGGAGAGGGAGCGGAGTGTTGAGTGCAGGGATGTTTGTGTAATGTGTAGGGGGTTGTTTCCTGAAGTGACTACACCTAGGGACTATCCTGATAGTAACTGAGCCAAGGGGACATTAAAACGAGTAAGTGTGGTTCAAAATAGGAAACAAAATCATCAAGGAATAATGAAAACAAAGGCTTTTATGGGGATATGCCCAGCCATTTGCAAACCGGCAGAATGGGGGAGGGGTGGGGTGGGGTGGGGACTCCTTGGATGTGGTTATAAATCACAGATGACAGACCGGATTTTGTCACAGTTCACTGTGACCTGTTGGCGCTGACAGGGCTGGGGGCTTGGTGGGTGCCGCTGGCAGCCTCTGCTTTGCCCTTTCCTTGTCGCCATGCTGCCCTTCTCAAGTTTAATGGCCCCATCGCCCCAGCACTTGATCTGTTTCACAGCCCTTTCTTTTCTTGGTCATTAAGCCTGGAGGGGTGGACTCTGTTCATTAAAATGCCAGCGTCCACTCAGCAGCCACAGGGGGTGGGGGTGGTAGCCCTGTAGTGATATCAAAGGATCTGAGTTTCCCATCACAACTGTTACTTTCTGCATTCCCTTGATGACGTTTCATTTCTTCCTTTCCCATTCCACATTCCTATATGAAATGTTTTTTTAAAAGATTCTTCCCAAAAGACATGAAGATTTCCATTTTTCAAAATTTTCTAAAATTCCAAGCTGACGTTTCCTTTTGCTGGGTTCTTGGATTAAAGGGCATTGTAGCTCTTTTCAAGTTTCAAGTGTTTGGAAAAAGATTTGTCATATTTGGACCACATGAAATAATCCTGACATTAAAGTTGCAATGAAACTGTGAAAAATGTAGAGAATATGTGTTAACACCAACAAAGAGACATCTAATTTTGGTGGTCCTGCTTGCTTTGAAAGAAAAGCCTTTTTCTCCGAAAATGATAATGTGCTTACTTAATTTTAACAACATATCATTTGTGACCAGTGGATTTAAACTTACAAAGTAGGTAGCACTTAGGGAGTTGTCACAATGAATGAATTTGTACATTTGAAGTGCTTAGAACAATGCTTGTTACATAGTGAGAACTCACTATTAATGGTATTCTGTAATTTAGCAATTTAATATTTCTAGAGTACAACTTAGAGGCCAGGTAAATTCAGGTAGAACAACTTGGTCAATTCATTAGTTATTTGAGGCTTACTCTCTCCCAAAGATACTGTTACACTGGCAAAGCCATTTGTGCAGGAGCCAGATCTGGATTCAAATCCTGCCTTTGCCATTGATGAGCAAGGGGATCCTTCTGTACAAAGGGGGTGATAAAACACAGTTATGACTGTACGGAAGATCCTGTATATACAGAGTCCAAGAGGAGATCGTGGGTCAGCAGCTATGCCTTTGGCAAAGTGGCGAGGAACAGGCAGTAACTCCAGAGCCAAAGGACTTGGGTTCAAATCCTGATTCTGCCACTCCCTGCTAGTGGCTCCTTGGATAGATGACTCCCTTTCCCTGTGCCACCACTGTTCCTGTCTCACCTTGAGCTGGAGATGATGATGACCATATCGGTCTGTAGCAAGCCATATCAAAGATGGCAGCAAGAGTCCTTACTGCCCAGGGCTGTAAGATGCATAGTGTTTTTTTTTTTTTTTTTAAGATTTATTTATTTGTTTGAAAGTCAGAGTTACACAGAGAGAGAAGTCTTCCATCCGCTGGATCACTCCCCAGATGGCTGCAATGGCCGGAGCTGCGCTGATCCAGAGCCAGGAGCCAGGAGCTTCTTCTGGGTCTCCCATGTGGGTGCAGCGGCCCAAAGACTTGGGCCATCTTCTACTGCTTTTCCAGGCCGTAGCAGAGAGCTGCATCAGAAGAGGAGCAGCCGGGACTAGAACTGGCGCCCATATGGGATGCCGGTGCTTCAGGCCAGGACGTTAACCCGCTGCACCACAGCACCGGCCCCAACACACAGTATTATGTGTTAACTGTTGTTACTTTTAGGAGAGTACATAGGAGGAAGGGTTATACACAGTCCCTAAAGGTCAACTCTGTTATCCTATGAAATGCAGTGTAAGAGAACACAGGAAGTGACGATGGTATTCTCTTTTTTAAAGATTTATTTATTTATTTGAATGGTAGGGTTACAGAGAGGCAGAGGGAGAGAGGTCTTCCATCTGCTAGTTCACTCCCCAGATGGCCACTACAGCTGGAGCTGCACCAATCCGGAGCCAGGAGCTTCTTTTGAGTCTCCCACTTGGGTACAGGGGCCCAAGGACTTGGGCCATCCTCCACTGCTCTCTCAGGCCACAACAGAAAGCTGGATCGGAAGTGGACCAGCTGGGATTCAAACCAGTGCCCCATATGGGATGTCGGCACTGCAGGCAGCAGCTTCACCCACCACGCCACAGCGTGGGCCCCTACAGTGGCATTCTGAAGGCCTACGCTTGAATTGGCTCTGATTTATGTAAGAAGGAAATAATTTAAAAACCTTACTTTTGAGGCAGGTGTTTGGTCTAGCCCACTGGGTACAACTCCTGGCTCCATCTCCTGATTCTAGCTTCCTGCCAGTGTAGACCCTGGGAGACAGCAGGTGAGGGCTCAAATAGTTAGGGTCCAGCTACCCACATGGGAGACCTGTGTTGTGTTCCTGATTCCCAAGTCAGTCTCTGTCTTTTCCTGTCTCCCTCTCTCCCTCTTACATTAAAAAAATGAGGTAAATGTCCCTTTAAAAAACTTACATGTCAAACTAGAGCTGCAGCCTAATACTGGAGACGCTGTTTCAGGCACTCCCTGTGCTGGTGAGTGTCTCTCCCATCCAAGACTTGCTGCCCCAGTGGGTGACTGCTGAAGGAGCAACACACTTCTCTGATTGGGGTGAGATTCTCTGCAGGAAGTGGAGACACGGTGTAGCCAAGCCAGCCATCCTCCTGCGTGATGTCAGAGTGCTCGAGTCTGTGGCATAACTGCTCAGGTAGAGATGCCCACTCTATCTGGGATGAAGAACAGGGAAATGAAACCATTGGTTCACAAAGGGAAATAAGTGACCACCCAAGGACTTCCTGTTCATCCTGGATCCCCAGCAGTAGTCATTGTTGGCTGGTCCTAACCTGGCCTGGAGCCAGAGGCCACCAGCACCCTCTCTCTGCCACCTCCTCACTTTCCCTCCTCCCCTTTGGCTTGTGTTGCTAAACAAAATTCCTGAGGCTGGACATTTTAGCGTGAAAAAAAAAAACTGATCTGGCTAACAATTCTGGAGCCTGGGAGAGCCCCCTGACTGCGCCATCACAGCATGGCAGGTGGCATCACGTGATGGGAGTGAGCCAGAGGGTGAGAGTCACGAGGTGAGAGAAGAAGCAACAGAGCAAGGAGGAGATAGGCTCGGTCTTTCATATTAACCCAGTCTTGTAGGAACTAACTCACTCGTGTGAGATATAACCACTCCGCTCAACCAGCATTAGTTCCTTCACAAAGGTGGACATGACCCAACCGTCTGCCACTAGGCCCCACCTCTTAAAAGTCCCACAACCCTTTGGGGCCGGCGCCATGGCTCACTTGGCTAATCCTCTGCCTGTGGCACTGGCATCCCATATGGGCGCTGGGTTCTAGTCCTGGCTGCTCCTCTTCCAGTCTAGCTCTCTGCTGTGGCCTGGGAGGGCAGTGGAGGATGGCCCAAGTGATTGGGCCCTGCACCCACATGGGAGACCAGGAGGAAGCACCTGGCTCCTGGCTTCGGATCAGCGCAGCACCAGCCGTAGTGGCCATTTGGGGGGGTGAACCAATGGAAGGAAGATCTTTCTCTCTGTCTCTCTCTCTCACTGTCTAACTCTGTCAAATAAAAAAAAAAAATCCCACAGGCTTTCAATACCGTTAGGCTGAGGACCAACCTCCTAGCATCTGGAAGATAAACCATATCCAAACCATAGTGCCCCCACCCCACCAGCATTCTCCAAAGGTAAGGGGTGAAATTTCAGAGGCTGGCATTCTGTTAGCACTGGAAAGTCCCTGCACTGCTCTCTGTGGTTTGTGACGAGGGAGTAGAGGATGCTGGGAAGACAGGGGCTTCCCAGGAGGCAGCTTGCTGACACCCACCCTGATCAATAAATCCCGTTCTTTCTTCATGTTCCTCCCCCATATGAATGTTCTTGAAGGGGAAGGTGGGAGCAGCTTTGCCATCCCCACACAATGCTGGGGACATTTGGTATCATCCATTATGAAAATTAGATTCACCAGATTTTTAGAGATAGAAGGACACCTGGGAGATGATCTAGCTTTATTCTCTTTAAATAAACTTAAAAATTGGAGAAGTGAAGTAACTTGCTCTTTCCACTTCACACTGGAAAGTGTTTTCATGAAGAAATTGGGGTTCTTTGCAGCACCTGCATGGGAGTCAAGGCCTTGGATTGTCCTAATTCTGTCACCAAACTTGGCCAAGCCACTTATGCATAACCCAGTAGCCTTGTTTGAGAAAAAAAAAAAAAAAAACCTGAATGACTTAAAATGACCTAGCAAACTCTAATGTTTGATGATTCTAAGCATGCTTCCAGGGGTAAGTGGCATGGCAGGATTCACTAACGCAATTCTTGAGATAGCTCTCAGGGAAGGGTATGTGTGTTACTCTGTTCAGGGTCTTTGTAGGTGGGAGTCGGGTAGAACGTGAAGGTCTCTCTGGGGGTACAGGGCTCGGACATGGGTGACGTTCCTACTGAGAACGTAAGCAGGGCTCGCTGGAGTAAGGGTCGTTGCATTTCTTGATGAGGCTGTGAAGAAAAGAGGCTTTCCTGAAAGAAGAGCTTCTACCTGGGGCTTAAGGATGGGTAGGCATTGACTGCAAATGTTGTGGCTTTAAAAAATCATCTAATGGTTGTTGGTGCTGTTTGAGTAATTCACCTGTTTTATGGACCTTTTTATTGGAAAGTAACACTCACTTAGTCTAAGTTGCCATGGATCTTGCATGAGCAGAACTTGAATTGTTTATAAATATTTTGGGGTACATCTGAGGATTAATATTATTTGATAGTTTGTAGTGTTAAGGTCTAGTCTACTTTTTTATTTTTTAATTTGAGAGGCAGGAAGAGGGAGAGTGCTCTTATCCTTCGATTCACTCCCCAGTTTCCTGAATCAGCCTGAGCTTGTCCAGGCCAAAGCCGGGAGGCAGGATCTCAATCCAAGTCTCCCACATGGGTGGCAGGAACCCAACTGAGCCATCACTACTGCTCTCCAGGGCTATGTGTTAGAGGGAAGCTGGAGTCGGGAGCCAGAGCCGGTATTGAACCCAGGTGCTCTGACACAGGAGGCAGGCATCTTTTTTTATTTTTATTTTTTGACAGGCAGAGTGGACAGTGAGAGAGAGACAGAGACAGAGAGAAAGGTCTTCCTTTTGCCGTTGGTTCATCCTCCAATGGCCACCACGGCCGGCGCATCGCGCTGATCCGAAGGCAGGAGCCAGGTGCTTCTCCTGGTCTCCCATGGGGTGCAGGGCCCAAGCACCTGGGCCATCCTCCACTGCACTCCCGGGCCACAGCAGAGAGCTGGCCTGGAAGAGGGGCAACCGGGACAGAATCCAGCACCCTGACTGGGACTAGAACCCGGTGTGCCGGCGCCGCAAGGCAGAGGATTAGCCTATTGAGCCACGGCGCCGGCCCAGGAGGCAGGCATCTTAACCACAGTCCTAACTGCTGGACAAAACATCTGCCTTTCATCTGCTTTTTACAGAGAAACTAAGGATGTGCCACAGCTGGTTCAAAAGTGAAAACGTTAGGCAAATAGTTTTGTAAATGACATGGCATCACTAATTGATGACTGATTATTACCAAGTGATTTAAATGAATAAATTGTATAATTTTTTGCACTGTGTACATATCCAGCCTTAAAAGAGAATAGGCAGTAATTCTGCTCTGCTTGCTGCCACCATATTTACAACTGCCTCATCTGAAATAATTGATAAATCCCTAATCTACCCTTTGTAATAATTCTACTTCAAACATGTCTTGGGATTAGCAGCTGTCAACGGTTAGAACTTGAAACAGATCCAGTTACAGGAGAGGAAATCAAGCCAGATATTTAATGTCACTTTCACCTGTAGACAAAAAAGAGAAAAAAGGAAGAGAGGTCATTACTTATGGGATTATAAGAACTTCAAGTCTGTTTTCATTGTCAGAGAAGCTGTTGTTTAAAGGAGAAGAATCAGGGACTACACTTTCATGAAATATATTTGAGCCCTAATAAAGTATTGATTGATTTCTGGACTTTTGAGAATTTGCAATAAGAAAATTAGTTCTGAACTATGTTCAAATTGTATTATAAAAGTTTGTGCTTAGTATATGTGCCTATGTAAAACAAAGAAAAATAAAAAATAGGGTCTGGCATTGTGGCATGATGGGTTAAGCCACCACCTGTAATGTGGGCATTCCATATGGACCAATTTGAGGCCTGGCTGCTCCGCTTCCCATCCAGCTCCCTGCTAATGCACCTGGGAAAGCAGCAGCAGATGACCCAAGTGCTTGGGGCCCTGCCCCCACATGGGGAACTTGGAGGAATCTCCTGGCTCCTGGCTTCGGCCTGGCCCAGCGGTGGCTGTTGTGACCATTTGGGGAGTGAACCAGCAGGTGGAAGATCATTCACTGTGATACAGGTGTCACCTAGCCTCTGGCGATTAATGATCAGAGAATTGACATCAATGCTTATTCTCTGGCTGCTGATATTGCTGTGAGTGCTTGGTTCTCCTCCATGACCTGGGAGTCTCATGTCTCCTGCCAGCAGGTTAACCAGTAGCAGGCTGACTTGTTGGCTTGCAGTAAGCTGAAACCTCTAATGCTTTACAGTTTGTGACAGCTATCGTGTTCCAAGAAGAGAGGAACAGTATGCACTGCTCTGCTTGCTGCCACCATATTTGCAACTGCCTCATCTAGACTAATTGATACATCTCTGATCTCCCCTTTGTAATAATTCTGTGGCGCATCTTGGGTGAGGAATCGCAACTACTTGTCTGTCTGCACAACCAAAGCGCATCAAAGAGGGCATCATGGGGGAGAATATAGAGTTGGAGATATCGAAACATGCAGTTCCAAAGAGACCTGCCTGCCAGGGAGAAGAGCTTAGATGTTATGGGGATCTGGAACTCAGGCTTCCGTGGAGGAAACCACTTGGGAACCATCAGGGTGTTCCTGGGAGATGCAGTCTTGTGCGGCAGTCTACAGAATGGGTTTGCGAGTCTGGTGCAAACTTGGCATGTCTGCCTGTGATGAGTGGCTCAAGCCACTATTCCCTAGCGTCTCGTAGTCATCTCTAGCTGTTCAGGTCTGATGACAATAAAGCGACAACACATGCAAAGTGCCTGGCACTGGGTGAAAGAAAGTGGCGGTGGTCACCAGCAGGAAGATACCATGTGATTGTTGGCAGCAGCAGACTGGGTGAGATTATCAACAAAAGCAGCTGGGGTGAGGAGGCGGTGCAGGGGAATGAAAGCACTCAGAGGACCTGAAAAGAAGCCACCAGAAAGGTGAGATGAGAAGCAGAAGTGTTTCAGGGAGGAAAGCTGGTTAATGTGGGGAAGTCCATCAGAGCGGGCAAAGCAGTTAAGGATTAAAACGCCTTGTCTGGATTTCCCAACCTTGGAGGACCAGGGAGACCTTAATGGGAGCAATTGTAGGGCAAAGAGAACTTACACGGCGGGAGTGGATGGACAGTAGGAAGCAGAGAGAGTAAGTGTAGACTGTACCTTCCAGATATGTGCGTAGAAAATGGAGAGAAGGAAGGGTTGTGATGGGGGGAGAGGGGGAGGTTGAAGATAAGGGAACACAGTGGGGTTTTTTGAGATGGGTGAACCTTATTCATTCTTTGAAAATATTTATTGAACCCATCCTCTGAGTTAGACACTGTGCCAGGCCCGGGAGCCATGTGGGTGTATAAGGCAGATGAAATCCCTGCCTGCGTAGTTTCTCCTTAGCACATGTGTCTGCTCGGAGCAACTGAAGGTGCAGGGAGTGGATGAGTAAGGAAGAATACTCGAGATAACTGGACAATGCAGCTTCAGACAGCATCCAGTGGGTCAAGAGGACTTTAGGGTGAATCAAATGTGGTTGTTGAACATAGAGAGGGAAATGCTGTTGAGAGAGTCTGAGTCTAGTAGAAGCCACACTGACTTTGACTGACAAGGAGAGGCAAGATGTTGGGGTGATGGCCTTGTAGGACACAAATTAAATAAAACAACGTGGAGCCAGCGCTGTGGCATAGTAGGCTAAGCCTCTGCCTGCAGTGCTGTGCTGGTTTGTGTCCTGGCTGCTCCTCTTCTGATCCAGCTCTCTGCTAATGCACCTGGGAAAGCAGTGGAAGATGACCCAAGTGCTTGGGCCACTGCATCTGCATGGGAGACCCGAAAGAGGCTCCTGGCTCCTGGCTCCAGATCAGCCCAGCTCCGGTCATTGCAGCCATCTGGGGAGTGAACCAACAGTTCAAAGACCTCGCTCTCTCTGCCTCTGTGTCTCTGTAACTCTGCCTTTCAAATAAATAAATACATCTTAAAAAAACAAACGCTCTCAGCGCAGCGCTGTGAGACGTCCATTGAACAACAGTTTCCCAGTGGGGTCTTTGTACCCTGTAATGAGTGTGACACGTGCACCATTTGTAGCCTTTCTATGTAATATAATTTCAAGAAGGCTCTTTCTAGACAGAGCAGCTTGTTGAAACTAATATCCATTTCTTCTTACATGTGGGTTTCAGACTCTTAAGTTCTTCTGAAATAATAGCTCTTTGAAACTAGCTATGGCTACGACTTCATTAAATTCTAATGTCTGTTTTTCTCCCTCAGGATTCTGTTTCAGACGTGTGTGAAATAGGTTGCTCGCTTGAAAATAGAAACACAGTGCAAGGTTTTGCTGAGCCCCCTGCCTTTTCCCAAGATGGAACCGATCACCTTCACGGCGAGGAAACACGCCTTTCCTAACGAGGCCTCGGTGGACTTCGGCCTTCAGCTGGTGGGCTCCTTGCCGGTGCACGCTCTCACCACCATGCCCATGCTGCCCTGGGTTGTGGCAGAGGTCCGGAGGCTCAGCGGGCAGACCTCCAGAAAGGAGCCCGTGACCAAGCAAGTGCGGCTTTGTGTTTCGCCCTCCAGACTGAGATGTGAACCCGACCTGGGCAAGAGTCAACCGTGGGACCCACTGATCTGCTCCAGCATCTTTGAGTACAAGCCTCAGCATGTGCACAAACTGATTCACAACAGTCATGACCCCAGTTACTTTGCTTGCTTGATTAAGGAGGATGCCGCCCGTCGGCAGAGTATCTGCTACGTGTTCAAGGCTGACGATCAAACAAAAGTAAGTTGCGGAGGGCATCGCCACGGTGATGACGTGGCTCTGTGTTTTTTATTGAATGGGGTTGGGGAAGGGGATCAGGTAGTTTATTTTAAGCATAGTGGAATGTATAAGGAAATAATGTTACAGTTATAGAGTATCTGGATTTTTGGTTTGTGTGGCTTGTTTCTTCATTGTTTCCTTTGAAGGCCATTTGATAGCAGATACTAGAAGTTAAAAGTTTGAGTTCAAACGCTTGTCAGAGAGGTCTGTCTAGAAGTTCAGCTCACAGCTGAAGTGTTAGGATTTGAGTTCTTTAAGATGTATTTTCTTGAGCAGCGCTTCTCAAACTGAGCCCTTGTTAAAGTGCAAATCCTGATTCCGTAGGTCCGGGGTGGACCCAGGACTGCATTTCTCAGCAGCTGTCAGGTGATGCACTGCCACCCCTTCGCACATTGCACTGGGGGCAGCAGAGTTCTAGATCGGTCATCCCCACAGTTTTTAAATCCCTTGAAAAAAATGCTGCTATTTGTAAGCTGTATGAAAATACGCTCAGCCAGTTTCCCCAGGCATAGTGTTCCTGTAGGCGAAGGCCATTGATGAGAACAGTGGATATGACTCTAGGTTTTGATACCATGAGGGGTTCTCTTGTGTTTTCTTCCTGGTGCTGACCTCACGTCAGCACTGACTAGCTTGTTATTGTTTTATCGTATGTTGCATTTGAGAAAAACACCTGAGTCAGGCTGTGTTCCAGAGACTGCAATTTTCTCGGTGATTTGTGTGCTTGTCCTGTTCTGAGCATCGTTTGTAGCTCTGTGCAGAATTCATTTGAAGTTTCTTGTCCGTTTTGTGAGAATTATCTTAGATCAATTTGAAGATCTCATCCATTTAGCCATTTTCTCAGCTGGGCCCATGAAAAATGCAATTTGGTCCAATATATAGAGGACAAATAAATTGGTGAGCTAACCTCGTGGGCTGAGAAATCCCTCTGCTGCTGTGGGTGCCAGATAAACCTGTAACTCCAGCTTTGAGCCGTGCACACCAGGGGAGGATGCCAGTGCCATTCCATATGGTAAATGGCGGTAAAGCCCAAGGTTTTCATATTTTCAAACAGTAAATACAAATAGTAATGCTAATGTTCTGTGTTGCACCCCTTTAGGATATTTTGCATAGTCTCATGATTATAAGAACCTCATATGGGAATAAAATCCTTTAGGTCCATGTACAGTTGGTCACTGGTATCAGCAGATTCCACATCTACAGAATCAATCAACCAAAAATGAAAATATTCAGGAAAAGTATCTGTGCCAAATGCACACAGACCTTTTCTCTTGGCATTATTCCCTAAACAATACAGTGTCACTGCTATTTACATAACATTTACATTGAATCGGGTTCACAAGTCATTAAAAAGATGATTTAATCTTACAGGAGGATGTGTGTAGCTTATATGCAAATACTATGCCATTTTTTAATATAAGGGACTTGAGCTCTATGGATTTTGGTATCTACAGTGCAGGGTGGGTGGCAAAAGATGGAGATTCACTTTTGTATGTTCATTTGTTGGTTCTTTTTTTAAAAAAGATTTATTTATTTATTGGAAAGGCAGAGTTACAGAGAAGCAGAGGCAGTGAGAGAGAGAGAGGTCTTTCATCTGCTGGTTCACTACCCAAATGGCAGCAATGGCCTGAGCTGAACCGATCTGAAGCCAGGAGATGGGAGATTCTTCTGGGTCTCCCATGTGGGTACAGGGGCCCAAGGATTTGGGCCATTTTCTACTGCTTTCCCAGGCCATAGCAGAGAGCTGGATCAGAAGTGGAGCAGCCTGGACTCAAACTGGTACCCATATAGGATGCTGGCACTGCAGGCTGTGGCTTTACCCACTACGACACAGCACTGACCCCAATTTTTTGGTTCTTGTACTCATTGTCTCCGTGATTGCTGTTCCAGGCATCATTAGAGAGGATATTAGCAGAGGCTAGTAGGAAGGCAGAAGCATCAGTAGGGAATAGAACCATATACTCCAAGAGCAAGACGTGATAGAAAGAGAATGGAGTCACTCCTAGAATGTAGGGCAAGCTTTTGGAAATAAAGGGTAATGTGAACTTCAGGAAAACCATCTTACCCACAGAATCCACCACCTGTCTTACTATAAATCATTCCATGTTCTTGTCCCAGCGTCTCCAATGCACACTGCAGCATCAGCTTAGGGGGGCAGGAGGAAAACTTCCTGGATTCCATTCCTATCTCTGCTGCTCGCAAACTCGGTGACCTCAGGCAGCTGAGTCTGTTTCCTCATCCAGACCTGGGGATGTTTATCTCACAGAGGTGCTCGGAAGAAGAAATGAGGTAGAACAGGACTTGAAAGTCGGTAAGCATTCATGGCTACCAGGTTTTTTATTCAAGAATCTTTTACTACAAGCAGATTATACATTAATTTCATTTCCATTCTTAGGGAAAAAGAAAAAATATACTGGGATGTGTGTCTTCAGCTCTCAAGGATGAGACACTGGGCATCCTTGAGCAAACTCTTATAAGTTAGACACTTAATAATACTGCATAAATCTACTTAGTGGCTCCTATGATTTGGGCAGATTCCAGAATGAATGAAAAAGAGAGGATTGTGCAACCTGTGTGCCAGGCCAGCAGCGTGGAAGGACTGCTTCCTTGGGGAGAGTTTTTTTTTAACTTTTATTTAATGAATATAAATTTCCAAAGTACAGCTTATGGATTACAATGGCTTCCCCCCCATAACGTCCCTCCCACCCGCAACCCTCCCCTTTCCCACTCCCTCTCCCCTTCCATTCACATCAAGATTCATTTTCCATTCTCTTTATATACAGAAGATCAGTTTAGCATACACTAAGTAAAGATTTCAACAGTTTGCTCCCACACAGAAACATAAAGTGAAAAATACTGTTTGAGTACTAGTTATAGCATTAAATCTCAATGTACAGCACACTAAGGACAGAGATCCTACATGAGGAGTAAGTGCACAGTGACCCCTGTTGTTGACTTAACAAATTGACACTCTTGTTTATGGCCTCAGTAATCACCCTAGGCTCTTGTCATGAGCTGCCAAGGCTATGGAAGCCCCGTGAGTTCACTGACTCTGATCATATTTAGACAAGGCCATGGTCAAAGTGGAAGTTCTCTCCTCCCTTCAGAGAAAGGTACCTCCTTCTTTGACCCATTCTTTCCACTGGGATCTCACTCGCGGAGATCTTTCATTTAGGTATTTGTTTGTTTGTTTGTTTGTTTGTTTTCCCCAGAGTGTCTTGGCTTTCCATGCCTGAAATACTCTCACGGGCTTTTCAGCCAGACCTGCATGCCTTAAGGGCTGATTCTGAGGCCAGAGTGCTGTTTAGGACATCTGCCATTCTATGGGTCTGCTGTGTATCTCACTTCCCATGTTGGATCGTTCTCTCCCTTTTTTATTCTATCAGCTAGTATTTGCAGACACTATTCTTGTTTATATGATCCCTTTGGTTCTTAGTCCTATCATTATGATCAATTGTGAACAGAAATTGATCACTGGGACTAGTGAGATGGCATTGGTACATGCCACCTTGATGGGATTGAATTGGAATCCCCTGGTATGTTTCTAACTCTACCGTTTGAGGTAAGTCAGCTTGAGCATGTCCCGAATTGCACATCTCTTCCCTCTCTTATTAAGAGCTGTTCAGTACTTTATGCTTTTGACTCTTTCCCAAAACCTCTTACAGCCCTCTGAGAACAGGATGTGGCCAATCATTGAGAGACCCGAGAGGAGGAAGCAATTTTAACTAAATTCTGTAATTGGAGCTTCCAGTCTTATCCAAAGTGGAGAGCTGGCTTTATTCTATACGCTAAAATGCCATGGCTGAAATATGAATTCATTCTTAAGTTACTTTTGGCTTGCGTACAATTCTCACAAGCACACAATGTCATTACTCAGAGTATAAATCGCTATCATCCTGTTCACTTCGTGAAAGTGTCGTTTGCAGCCGAGGTACCTCAGTCTGTGCTCTTGTTGGAAACTGAACGGTCAGTGTGCTGGCCGTCGTTCCACTGGCGTGATGTCCGGTACGCTCTTGGCACATCACTAGCACTGGTACGTCATAGTACGGGATTATCAGAGTAGCAGCGTGCTAGCCTCTCCGTCATTTCTCTGGAGCATTTGCGACATTTGCTCAGTGACATAATTGTTCAGGTTAAGGCCTCTTGTGCACGGATGAGGTCAGCATCAGGGGGCCTCACCAGAGGGGCCACATGCATTGACCGCCAAGGTCATCAGCACAGAATGACCCTGAGAAGAAGCCCTGTGGTCAGCAACTGAATTAACTTGCTGAAGAATATGTAAGCAGAAGAGACATATAAGGGATAATTTTACAAGCACACGGTGAGACTGTCTTTCCCATTCCACGTCCCACAGCACAGACTCAAGCTGCTCCGCCCAGAAGGGCGGCCACGATCCAGTGCGTTGGTGCAGCAGTGCGCACTTTTCGGCTGGAGGACCCTTTTTCCCTCTTCAGAATTATTGAGGATCCCAAAGAGCATTCACTTATGTGGGTATACCCATCAACACTCACCGTATTGAAATTAAAACTGAGATGTTGTAAAGACATTAATCTATTTAGAAATGAAAGTGAGCAGGCATTTCGTGTAGCACGTAAGAGGCTGCTCAGGACGTCTGCATCCCGTATCGGGTGGAGTGCCTGGGTTTCAGTCCTGTCTCCGCTTCCACTTCCGCTTCCAGCTTCCTGCTTATGGGCACCTTGGAAGGCAGCAGGTGATATCTCAAGTACTTGGGTCCCTGCCACCCATGTGGGAGATCCAAACTCCTGACCTTGGCCTGGTCCAAGGTCATTTGGGGAGTAAACCAGTACATGGACTTTATCTCTCTGTCTCTCTCTACCTTTCAAATAAATAAAAACAAACAAAAAATTTTTAAATAATAAAAATAAATGTGGTAAACCTCTTACATGTTAATATAAATAGTATTTTGTGCATATTAGCTATATTTTCAATAAATATCAATAATG